CCAGAAGAAAATCAAGATCCTGCAGTAGATCTGGGTTATCTTCGTCATCCAGGTCAAGTAGCAGTAGCAGTTCTAGTAGTGATTCTGAATATSAAAGAAAAAAAGCCAAGAAATCCAAACACAAGGTAATTCTAATTTAATACCTTAACTGTTCATATGGAATTTTGGGGTTCTACCAAAACTAATTAACAGTTATTTGGGGAACCTTTCCATAGATGAGTTTTTTTTTTTTTTTGAGTAAAAGCTGTTGCCTCGAGCTGAAAACCTGGAACTAGGGAATATAGCTGATTGGCTAATTCATTCGGGCTTAGAGAAGTGAAATCACCTGACAAATGAACCATATTTGGTAGTAATGAATTATGCTTTCGGTGTGTGTAATGAAATAAAGAGATAATAGAGAGAAATAATAGAGAGAATAAGAGAAAAATATCAAATGCCCTTGGCGGGAATCAAACCACGTCTTCGGTATTCTATTACATGGGACTAGAATACCGAAGACGTGGCTTCGATTCCAGCCAAGAGCATTTGATCTTTATCTCTTATTCTCTCTATTTCTGAACCATATTTGGTATTACTGCCATTTCATATTTAAACATGCAAACCTGGTAGCGGCGAGTGGCACACTGAAATTTGTTTTTTTCACTACGGCCAGTCATAAATATGAAAGGTACCAACTGATTAGTTTTGATTGACAGCAGTGAAAAACCTATTTTCAGCATGCCAGCTTGCAGATACTGAGTTCGCATGTTCATGAAAATAGCTCCTGTGTTTTTCATATCATGGCAGACAACCAAAAAGAAAAAGAAAAGAAAAAAGATGAAGAAAAGAAAAAAATCCACACATGCTGTCAATCAAAACAAATATGGAAAATACGGCATCCTCTCAGAGGCAGACCAATTCACTAAACAGCCAGAGTTTTACTGCTGGCTTCAGGAAGCGAGGCAGCTCAACCCCGAGACCTTGCCGAGATTGGAGACTAGAAAAATGTTTGAAACCTTCATGGAGGATTACAATACTGCTACATTGCCTCATAAAAAGTGAGTAGAATTATGAGTTGGGTACCCTGTGGAGTAGTATGAAGATGTGGGACTGGGACAGAAGAATGAGGAGAATGAGAGCTCTAAATAATGGATCTTAAAGTGTCCCTAATGCCTAATCACAGACCTTATGTGAGTTGAAGATATATTCATGAAAATGTAAAAATCCAAAATTTTTTTCAAAATTGGATGCCTTCCTGATTTTTAATTGAGTTTTGAAAACGCGCCTTTTCATATAAGGACCGCGCGTAAGGGGGACTGATGCGATTACGTCATCGGGGTGATACGTTCCTAAAGTGAAAGACTTGCGCATTCTTCCAAGTTTGATTCACTCTTACAATATGTAAAAGCTCAATATTTTGGCATTTTTTCTTCCTTAAAACTTTAAAAACAGCACTCTTGACCCACAAAAAAATTGGTGTATCACCCTGATGACGTAAGTCTATACAATTTTTCAGGCTCCTCGAACGCGGTACTGAAATTTTGGACACGAGAATTTTGCCAACTTTTTCGTGCCATAAAAAATCAGGAATTCATTTGAAACGAAATTTTTTTTGAAAAAAGCATTTATGACAATGTGAGGATTTGTTCTAAATTGGTCTATAATCAGGCATTAGGGGCATTTTAAATTAATTTTTTGCAAGATATTTTTAATCTAATAATAGAATGGTACTTATTCGTTTGTCTTACAATTGAGGATGGCTCGTATGGGGACCGCAATGTTTTGACTGCAAACTGCTAATCTTTATCAGGCAATGGCGTAGACTGCAGGAACAGATCTGGATTTTTAAAAGGGGGGATGAGGGTATAGGATACCTTGTGCCATTACCACAGGAAACCCATAAAAGGCATGAAAATGGTGGAAATATGGTGTCTCAAATTGACAGAAATTGACCTCCTCGGCTTGGGTGTAATGTTGTCCCATTTCATACCACGTGTCATTCCCTTGAGAATAAGATTCTTTGTTTGAGTTGTATCCATATTCATGTGTCTTCTCATGTGCAACCGAGCGCAAACCTTAAACAAAGAAAGGATACTCTAGGGAATGACATGTGGTCTGAAATGGGAAAACATTATACCTGAGCTGAGTAGGTCTATTAAATTTGAAAGCTTGAAGTGAACTAAGTGAAATATTGTCCTGATAAAATATTTTCAGTGTACATGTAGGAAAGATACCATTTTTATTGATTGGAAGGGCTGGGGCTTTAGAGGGGAGGGTCATCAGGAAATAATTTGTGGTGCAAGGGGGTGGAGGGTGGGGCCAACTAGTCACCCCCCTCACCACCACCCCTTGAAATTGAGCTGCTTTGATGTCACATGCAAGGGGTCTATTAAATGTTTTCATTTTGAATCTCTTTTTGTGTAATTATTTTTAAAGGTACTACAATCTTG